GCCGCCGAGGCGCAGCACGGCGCCACGGAGAGGAAGGGCGGCTCCAAAATGAGGAGACGCAGCGTGTTTTGGTGGGGTCAATTCTGGCAGGTTCGTGAGTGACCCCAGCTTGGCCAAACATTTAAGCGCTATTGATCTTCCTTGGTTGTGGCAGCAACCCTCGCAACTCCACTTTCCAGCTCCAACCGGGGCCCTTCCTCGCCCGTCGCGTCTGCTGAAGTCGCTCCCGCCCAGGCGTGCGGAGGGGTTCGCTTCCCTGGTTCGCTAAGGTTCTCTCTGGCTCTCATACGTTTGATTCATTTTTCTAATCAAAGAAAGATAACTTCATGAGTAGATGTTGATGTTGAAAAGAATGTTTCTTAGGATTCGAAATCGATCACCTAATTCTATATATGTCAGATGGTGGAGAAGTTTTGTATATTCTGTGAAATTAATCCTGCACAAACGAAGACCTCTTACCTAGGCAGTCTTTTATGAAGGGCGACGCCATGATGCCTGGCTTTTTCTGTTCAGAAATGCTGGGCATTGAGTCGAAAGTGAGCTGTCGATGGCTCATATGATTTCTATATCGATGTTGCTTAAGAAACACATGTGCGATTGATTATAAATTAGTTTATCGACAAGATACAATTTGCAGAGAATAGGAACTCGCACCTTCCAGAATGGAAACATAACAGGCGCATCTGATAGAGAACGGCAGGCCGCAGCGAATAACAAACACGATTTCATATGGCTTTATTTGCCTTACAAAGATCGTCCGGCACGTAACGCATATTAGTACATCTGTGGTGTAGTTTCTTTGACAATTTATGTATGTGAGTTTATTGACCCACGGGACACAGTGAAAGAGGGAAAATTATAGATTGTTTAGTTAGTGACAGCTAAACTCCCACACCAGCCTGGCCTTCAGCCGCCGAATCTCCCCTGCACCCCGCCCCCTTCCCTTAGGCGAAACTACTTACCCCGTGGTTCAACCTGCGGCTCTTCTTGAGGACTCCCTCCTCGGTGTGCGTGGGCTGGCGGTGGCGATAGATCTTGGGTGGGTGGCCCCACACGGGCGACGCCAGCACCTTGTGGCCCCAGAGGCCCGCCGTTGAGTACGTGTACTTCCCTGAAGATCCGGCGGCGTCGCTCTGTGGAGTGGTCTCGGGCGCATTAGAGGAGAGCGAACCCGTCTGACAAACGGGCTTCACATTAGCAAATGGCGCCTCGAAGGTGTAAGGCCAGTTCAGGTCAGGGAATAGGGTACTGCATAAAACAAGTAATTTTTCCGGCGCGTCAATGGAGGCACTGTATAAAAATATATTGACTGTGAGAAAGGATATTTATTTCATGATATCTCATTATTTTTTAAATTATGGAGATAAAGATAGCGGTTATAGTGACTGCAGCGTTTGTGTCCTATCCGCACGGCCATAGTTCCTGTGGTTGCCCAAGCATGATTAAACAAGGACAGCGGACAGGAGCGGCGTTGACTAACCTGATACGGAAGGCAGAACGCGACCAAGAGTGTGCAGAGCAGCGCGAGAGCGTGTTCATGGTGAGTTCGAGGGCGGTCGAGGAGGCCGAGGGGGCCGAGGGCGAGGCTCGTGCTGGCGGGTGGGGCAACACGCGGGGTGGCCGAGGCGTGGCCGGGGCGGAGAGGCCAAGGGTCCTGGCGTGGACGGAGGTGGCTGGCGGCGAGAGAGGGCGACCGATCCGGCAGTTCTTGAAGACAGGTCGTGTGGTGGTCGAAGACTGGAGTGAAGTTGGGATGCGAGCCGTATGGAAATGCGCCAACACTTGATGAATATGGGTCACGGTATATGATTTGCAAATATATATGTGTAGATTATAAGATATCGACTTTTCCGTTGTTTTTTGTCACCACTCTAGTTTTGCACGCTGTAACACTACGCACGGGAACCACGATTTCGTCAGGGCCTTCCTTTGACAGACTCTAACACGAAGTGCCAGAGCCGCAAGCAGGTCAGGGGCGCAGCTTGGAGGAAGCTTCGTGGTCGGCCTCGCCAAGAGACCCGCGTGAGGCCGAGCGGAGAGGCTCTGGCGCCGCGCTACAGGATCAGCTTGAGCTTTCTCGTCCTGAGAAGAAGATCGCGAGTGTCTTTGGTCATAGTCTCCGCTCTTGAGCTAATTTTCAGCCGCGCATTCCTCGGCGGCTACAGAAGCTGTCGTGGCCGCTGAGCGTGGCTCTGCCAGCGGTGCTGAGCAGGAGGGCCAGGCGCGCGGAGGCATCCAAGCCCACAGTTCTCTGAATGTGATTCGCAGTCGCAGAAGGTGTCTGAGCCGTGCTCTGTTGCTCTCCCCAGTCCTGGAAAAAGGTCGGAGGAAAAATAGGAATTATTATCTCTTCAATATATATTTTTCACAAAAAAAAAACTATTTAAGCACAAGGGAAGCGCGAGGTTTTGCATATCATCATGATAATGAACTTCAGCGTGCCCGCATACTGTTGACACGTTATAGTCACGCCAGGTTCACTTGAGGCACTTGGGCCCAT